TAGTTTGGTCAATATACAAAACAATAGAGATCCCCCGTAAAGCCTTAACAGACTGTTGGGACAAGAGCTGTTAGCGAGCACCTATGAAGGCCGACACAACACACGCCCCGACCGCCTTTGTCTCCCCCAGTGGCGGTGTTTACACATCGCACCAGGTACTCATTTGAGGCTGAGTCGACCGAGGAGAGGCCCAGGACCAGTTCAGCCAGGGCCAAAATCAGAAGCGAGCGATATATGAACTGGTCCCGCGACCATCCTCAATCCACCCTGACCGGCATGGTGAAGTATAGCTATACAACCCTCCATGACTGACACGGTATGAGGAAAGCCTTCATGACTGTAAATAACTTTATTATAATATTTATTGAGACTTTTACTCCAAAAACCATCATTGGTTGCAAGATGATTCCTCGTAATGGGTCCCAAAATAACTTCTGCTGTAGGGATTTCTCACATTTTACGAAGGTTTGGCGTTTACCCTGGACAATAATCGAATAATCCTCCTGTAATTACCCTCCTCCAAGCAAATAAACAAACGTAGGCCTGCATCAATGAGAAGAAAACCTATCACCGCCATCTCAAACTCTGAGGCCTCTTATGGGTGAGCACTGTTGGACCTTGATGGCCACAATTACCATTTGTAAGCAATTTATTTAAAAAAATTCCAGGCTCCTGTTTTTGTCCGTGCCCCAGAGAACTGCCCATGTGAATCAACCATGAAAAGATATATTTATAAAATGTAACAAACAAAAAACAACTCCTGCGTTGCGCGGCAATCCAGCGGGACACTAATCTTAACCACAACCGAAAGGGGCTTTTGATTAAAGCAGTCCCATCACCATTCTGGATGGGAAAATTGAGCTATCGCTGGCCCCATCTCACAACCAAAACGAGGAGCCGGGAGACTGCGTGCCATTTTACAAAGTAAAAATGTCTGCCAGGATATTGGTTAAAACCCTCAAAGGGATTTTAAATCGCAGCTGTGTTCAAGATTCTGCTAAATTATAACCAATTACACAAACGTGAATATGCTGGTTCAACAGAACCTGTTTTAATAGGTCCACACCTACGATTAGCACGGTTGACTACGTACGGTGCGAAAGAATTTCGACATACATACATATACAAATAGCAATTGTGCCTGTGATTTTTGGTTTATAGAAGTGTCACGATTCTACCTCCCCTCCCAGTCCCCCCAAACCGTGATTCAATTAAACGTCACGATGTAGAACAGCGATTCCATATTGGAATCGATTCTTTTTTTAAACATCGCGGTGAATGTATCAGTCACTAGTCGCTGAGAAGTTCACGTGAACCCATTACAACATAAAATAATCGACGAACATCCAATTTGACGTGCAATTCAATGTGTACGTCACGAGCTTAAGACATTGATATGAAAATGCTTGAGCCGATGCATCGTTACGACTCTAATGAACACTTTTAAACGAGCAAAGCCACGAACAGTAACTTATCAGCATCGGCATATCCTTAGTAAAATCTAGGGTTACCGCCCATACATATTTAGAATGAGCGGTACCTGCAGCAGAGATCTCCTCAGTATTATTTTGACTATCTTTTCACTTCTTTAAATGGCTTTGTGGATGTGACACTGCTGCTGTTGTCCCAAACAACCTAATTGCCAGGATATATTACTTTTTTCGGTCTTGTATATATGTTTTTGTATCTCGGGGGAAGGCCAATTGAAACTAGCAAGCTCTCTTTTTCAACACTTATCTTTCGAAGTGTGACATTCTCGTGCCTGAGTTTTCGTCCGTATATTTTTTTTATGCTGTTCAATTCAAAGGTGGCCTGCCCTTAGCAACAACAACAAAACCAATCGCTTAATTCGGCCTCGCTGCTGTGGCGCTCACTTGCGAGATTTACAGTGGCGGTGCGAGCTACCCGGAAGGCAAGACACATGCCAGGCCACACATCTGTGTCGGTGGTGGAGGGAGAGGCCGGTGGGGAACGGTGCCGGTCAATCCGGCACCAGACCAGAGTGACGGGGGGGGGGCGGGGGCAAGTAGCCGATAGACGAGGCGTGGTAGGGGGGGGGGGGCGCAGTGGGTATTTCAGAGGCGATCGTGTAACAAGGAAGCAGCTGAAGCCCTGCAACATGAGGCCACTTTTTCAGGATCAGTGGCTCGAAACTTTGGTCTCGAGAGACTGCTTGCCTGGAACTCAACGTTCTACCGAAGCAAAGTGCCTCGGGCTTCCTGCAGCTTGAGGCAGCCGCACACCTGCAGGGCTCGGGGATATAAGATAATAAGCTTTCTTTCTTTTTTCTCAAGAATGCCCGGCTGAGAATTGGGATTTTTAAATCCTTTATATTAAGTTCACTTGCTTGCTTGCTTGCGTGCTTGCGTGCTTGCTTGCTTGCTTACGACCGTGCAAATCTTTCGGTCGTTTTTTAACCCACTTCCCGTGATCCAATCGAGCTGACATTTTTACACACAGACTCGTTGTGCGTGACAATTAATTTTCGTGAGAAAAAAATTTCCCAAATTTTACACTGTTTAGGGAATTTTTTTTTTAATATGTAATTACCAATTGCTTAATGGTGGCAGACAATCATCTGACCAATAGGTGGCAGCCATCTCAAGCCAGAGGACGAGAGGACTCTAGCCGCCCCGATGCCACGCATATAAAGGATTTATAGTGAAAAACTTTGTTTTTACGGGTTAATTTTGTTGTTGTTGCAGAAGGGTCTTGCTCTTAACGTTTGGCCAATTTCCGCTCTGAGTCTTTTGTAAGTGCGTGGATATCAGAGGACACCGGAAAAAGCCCCATGCAGATGAGTGTTTCATGCAAATGGAAGCCGACTCTGGAGTCTTCCAGCGCCGGATTTTAACAGACACAGTCGGACGGCACTGAGTTATAACACAATGAACGCTCGGCTCACGTTCCTGCTCTAATGGCAGCTTTACGTTGGTCAAAGGTCAACAAACGTAAATTGTTGCCGTTCAGCGATCTGTTTGACAGAAAATGCCAACATCTCGTTTGTTTCCTTCTACGTGACGCACTTATTGACGTATTTATTTTTACTTTAACCTGTTATTCAATCACCTTAAATGCTGACTGGTGTTCTATTTTATTGACGAACGATTTGCAGTCCTGTATCATAAATGTGCACACGTACATACGTTGAACACAAATAAAATGTTCCGAGCCGAGAAAATATAGTTTAAAACATTTGTGTTCGAATAACCGCCTTGGTTCCGCGTCCCTTTGAAGTGAAGGTCTCAAAAAAAGCCGCTTTAGAACCCGCGTGGGTGAGCTTTAAGCTTGCGAAACGGAAGGGCAGCAAACGAAGGTCAAGATGAAAATAAATCTCCCTGTGGGAAGTGCGGTGACCGGGTGGCGAGATTGTGAATCGGCGAGACATACTCATAGGTAAATAGATGGAGACCTTTATTTAAAAAGCAGGCGAGAGAACACATTGAGATCAGATGGGTTTTGTTTTTGTTCAAGGGACCTCTGGGTCACAGCAATGGCAGAGTAAACAAATGTAATACAGCAAGCATAGGGCTGCATTTCTTTTCCAAAAACAAATGATTCGTGAATTAATTAAAAGTTGAACTTTAAATATCAAAAATTGAGGTATCAGCCCTAAATTATTGTATTCATTTTGTTTGAATCGCCCATCAAAACCTGACTGAGGAAATGGCTTTTAAATTAACAGCAGATGCCATATTGTTCCGTGTACGAGGAGCATCGCAGATGAAGTAAAAATTCAAATGTCGAAGGGTGTCTTAAGTTGCGTGTAAGGTTAGCAAAGTATGTAATTTTGGGTGGTAATTTATTATTAAATGCCTTCAGGACAAACTTAGACGAATGCACACCTCTTCTCATGCACAGCTCAAGGCACCAAGTATTACCATACGTCAATGGTGATTACCTTTACGCAGACAATAACAGGGACTGCTATTTTAGTGCATGCAAACGACAGGAGGTACAAAAACAATGTGCATGCATAATGTGCATGCGTAATGTACGCTGATTATCATATGAATAACCCAGCCGGCAATGGATTCCCATTGTAATTTATATGCATTCATTAACCCCACCCCCCTTCGTACGTGAAGGGCTCACAAGTGGCGTCATCACATCTACCCCTCTGTTTAAGGAACGAAACAGGAGGATTTCTCCACAAATCTGGCTGTCGCCTGATGATGCTCGTTGTAATTACTGGCGAAACGTCGTACTCAGATTTTGTGGATTTGCTCTCCAACACACCGGTGTGCTGAAGTACCAACTAATTGGCACGTTCTGTTTACGTGACAAACCTTACTAAATGTCTCTGTCGGGTGGTGGCAGGTTTAACGATACATTGATATTGACGCGATCTAACCCCCCCAAAAAAATCCTATATTAAGGATGACTTTGGCCGTGAAAGCCTACGTGTTAAACTACCCAGTGTTATTAACGATAGTCAAAGCAATGGACGTGATCGTTCCCAGTGGGACAAACGGGTAAAGCCGAATGGAGAAAGTGGGAGAAGGACAACCGCGTCGCGTGACCTCGCGGGGAGGGGGACAAATACTTAGGCGGGCGCGACAGCGTCAATGTCAAACAGACTTTGAACACGTGTTAAGCGCTCAACGGAATTAGCAATTGGCACTCTGTCCGCTTTTGGCGATCATGAATTCTGCTCTGGCTCTGCAGCTCTTCTATATACACAAGGAAAGGCTGCGACGCCCCATCGCTTAATTGTACCAACAACAACAACAACAAAAATCCAGCCCCCTCAAATTACCAAAGACAGTTTGCATATCGAGCGTAATAATTGGGAAGGAGTCTGAGTTTGATTTGATTTGTTACACGGGCAAGGATCCCATGTAGCCAGTTGGCCCGGCTATTTTACAATGGAGATCCGTGGCGCGTGAGCGCAGAAGCAACGGGCAACTTCAACAAAGGGGTGGGGGGGGCATAAATGGTCGGGGGGGGGGGGGTCTGAGCGCATATGAAGGTGGTGGGGAGGTGCCGTGGCCCCTCACCATTTCTCCCCGCTGGAGTCGACGTGCTGCTTCACCGTGTAGCCGAACTGCGTCTCGGCAGAGCCGGAGAAAATCTGCGCATTTTTCACGTCCACGTTGAACGCCCGGCCAAGCTGGCAAAATCCTGCCGTCAGAGTGGGGGGGGAGAAGAGTTAAAGAGTTAACACGAGTTTTACCGCAGTTGACATCGGGTGTTTTTTTTCTTTCTAAACATGCCTTCAAATTGTAATGGTCTCCATATATGACAAAATAAAATGTAAATAATTTAAAACATCGAGATACTTATTTTCTGCCCGAGTAGAATGCTGATCTTCACACAGTGCTCGACTGTAAAACCACAAACGAGACGGAAGGGGTCTGTCCAGCCGCGGGCCACCGGTGGATGTTGGGATTTCACCGCTGCGTATGATCTCGTGGTTGTGCTGTGTAAGCTTTTGTGGAGAAGCGGTGGCGCTGTGGTTAGCGCGCTGCCCTACGAACCCGGCCACCCGAGTTAGATTCCCGCTCGCGGACAACACCAGTGACGATTAGTTGAACCGGGCCTCCCCTAGGTCGACTCAGCCTAAAATTAGTACCTGGTGCGGTGTGTAGTAAGCATCGTTACGAGGGAAACAAAGGCGGCCGGGTGTGGTGCTGGCCACCAACCCCCTCGTGTGTCGTGCCAGCCTTCATAGGTGCTCGTGAACAGCACTTGCCCCAACAGTCTGTTAAGGCTATACGGGGGGTCTTTGTCTTTGCTGGAAAGCTCTCCAATGCCTTTTCGAGTTGTACTTAAACGTTGCTCGGCGTTACGGCCGAAGGGTCGCCCCGCGTAATCTGGCGATGTTTTAATATTAATTTGGCGACAAAACGCTGCCCGGAGATGCTCCGAGCACACGGAATGAAACGTCGGCCGTCTTTCATGGAACCTGTGGATTTGATAGCCCCGCGATCGGGCAGCTGGATCATCTCGTGCGCGTGCTTCCCACCGGGCCCCATTTTTCCACGAAGTGCGCGCGACTCCATTTCCCACGGCCACATCGCAATGTGTGCAGGGAAATTGCCCAATGACACATCCACTACGCTCACGAAACACTCCGTCACGTGGTGATTTTCACGAGTGAAGGATTAGGTGCCAGTTAGCATCGCGTCCCAAGTCTCAATCGTAAACGGTAAAATGGGGTAGAGCAGTGGCACAGCGGTTCACGAACTGAGCCACGTGCTCAGTAAGTCAGGTTAGATTCCCTGCTACAGCTACAATCAGTGGCACGTGATATCAGACCCGACATCATATGGCCCTCTTCATCGCTAATCTGCCTTGACCAGCGTGGAGGAATATGGTCAGACAACCCCCATGGCTGACATGGCAAGGAGAAGCCTCCATTCTCGCAGTAGGTTTACAAACAGCTGTCAATGTATACATTAAATTAAAAAGCTATCATCAGATAATCACTTTTCCAAAAAAAATGCGTTTACTTTGTCCAGGCGTATTTTGGAGAAACAGATCAGGTCTCTCTGGTCGAGCGCTTGCACAGATAAACAAAGGATGCCCGTGAAACTCATTGAGAAACCCAGTTCACCCTGGGACCCACTGCGTTGGGGAGAGAAATGACATTCATAGCAGTCTGTCAGGTGCCCTCACCGCCAAACACTGCTCCCGTAAATTCACGCTCGTGGGATCGGTTGACAAATTGTTAGATTTTTTTTTTAATTAAATGTTGTTGTTGTTTTCCGTGTCAACACTTAAAATAGTGTTTGCCACGGGCCTAGTCGGTAAGCTAAACGAGCGGATCTGGCATTCCATCTACCCTGGGGGGCACAACACGCGCTGATGTGATCGCAGTGGAGTCAATGTTTTCGTAACAATGCTATTTGTGACGATGAAAACGATGATGATAATTGTTGTTGCCCGTTGTAAAATCAGCGACGGGATTTGTTTCAAGGAATGCAAAAGTTGGCGCGATCACCCAGGGTCTAGAACAAATAGCATGCACCCAGACCAGATTGTTTCGTTTCTGTTTGTTTCAGCTCTGCTGTGAAACCATTTACAAGAATATTGAACTTGCACGATTGACGATCCCTTCATACGTTGAAACAAATATTTGCATCACATTCGATTCATTTGTATTGCGACACTCTGTCTTTTTGTCGATGGAGTTAGATGAGATCACAAAAACGTTTCATTCACGTAGCGACTGCACAGCCCAGACACAAAGCATTCACTGCCATTAATATGAAGTGCAATGCCAAGAGTGAATTCTTTCCGAGTTATGCCTGCGATCTGAAATTCTCTGGTCCCTTTGAAGGCACTTTTATATCGAGGCGGTTGGGTGACTTTAATGGGATTTGGCAAAGACCATCAGACCATTGGCTTTCCACGTCCCCTCTTCCTCTTATCCTCCATACACCCTTCCATGCATTCCGCCCCCCCCCCCCCCCCCACCTTCGACACTTTCTCACTTTTATTGGTGGTTCACAACTATCGGCAGGGCATTAATGTCGAGACTTTTAAGACTTCATCTCTCTCCTCTCTTCGTTGAGTGTTATTCACCGGTGGTTTTACAATTTGCGAGCGCTCCTTCCTGAGTTGAGGCGTACTTTTGATGTCGAAGAAGCGACGGCGTGGAACATTTAATAATCTCCCTCCACCTCCCCACCTCCCCCCGCAACCAAAAAAATAATGTGCCAAAAATAAGATTCCAGCACATCTAATAACGCGATAATGTGTGTTAAAAGTGATGTACGCCTTTGCATGTCATTTTTTTAACTATTGATGCTGACTGTCGTGCTCCCGATTTAATGCATGGGGAGGAGGAATTAATGCTTGTTGTTACACTCTATCTGTCTTGGTTTAGGACTTGGGAGTTTCATCCACATACGCTAAGTTTTTCAATCTTACAGCTCTTACGACCGTACTGGACTTTAGGAAACATAAACTGATGACGACGCAACTTTCACGATTTGGCAAGGTTGCAATGCATCATGGGTTTTGCCCATAGTGCCTTGCAGTATGAACCTATTTAATTGTAACCTGTGTTCGTTGAGAGCACTAATTGATCAATTTTTAAAGTAAATTTAGATATCAATGCATCGTGCAACGACTAAGAAAAATGTGTTAACTCAAGCATAAAATAAAGAATGCTGACTTTCATCTTTGCTGCGGACTTCATCATCGATCTTCTTGCACTAATTGCTGCTTTCACAGATTTCCGAGAGCCCTTTGACCACGCAACTTGCGCGCAAGCACACAACATCCGTGCCTTGGCTCGGGCAAGGCTCGGCGGAGTTTTGTGCTTCTGCTAATTCTCCTAATGTAATCTCTCGCGAGTTACTGGGCGCCTCCGTCAGACAGACAGGCGTTGCTTTGTTGACAATCCCCCCACGCTCCCATTGATGTCCTTTCAAGCCGCATGCTCTTTGGCATTTATTCCCCCCCCCCGCCCCTTTCTTCTCGCTACTTCCTTGGGGGATGCATCAAACAAGCCCATCGTGACTTAAGCTTTCGTGACTGCAGGAATTCATATTCTTTGGGTCTTTCGGTAAAGTCACGTGGATAGGTTAACTGACGGCCCATTAGGTCGATGGGCGCCGCGGTGGCGAGATGTTACCTACCCCGCCTGTTAAACAAGGAGGTCGTGGGTTCGACGCCTGTATATTGGGATTTTGCGTGTGTCGCTCCCCGTTGGTCACGTGGTTTTTTCTCCGGGTCCTCCGGTTTTTCCCTCCGCATTTAGAATGAACGTGCGTTCAGATAATTTTTGGCTGCTATAAATGTCCACATGATGATAAATGTCAACATATGAGAGCCCAATTGCGTTGGGCTCTCATATGTGGCCAGGTCGCTTTCGAAAAAGAGCGATCTCAAAAGTTTCGTTCAATATTTTTTTGTTTAGTCAGCTCCGTCAAGCAGCAACACATTGGACAGGAAATCGCAGGGGGATGCTTCTGCTCTTCCTCGCTCCCTTCAGAGTCCACCCCTGGCTGGTTGACAGCGTGGCCCGAGGGAATGGGGCTGAAAGTAGCCCGTGAGTCCTCCAATAATCACGGTTGGCTACGTACAGTGAGAAAGAAATGCAACATATGATAATTGGTTCTTTACCCTTCTATCTGGCAACAAAACTGACACCTTTTTGCAAGGAGTCATGTTTGCATAGACCGCAATACCTGCAGTCATAATACAAACAAAAGAACATAACTCTGATAATGTGCACTGTCCCTGAAGTTGATTGGTCCACACCCGAGACAGCTTTCGTTCGAGCCTAGTCTCATATGGGTTGGACCAGATGACGCCAAAAGGCGCACAACTCAAGGACAATGCACCATCAGAGTATGAGAGCTCGGGGCAAGCATCTACACTATGGGGACCTCATTTGCCAGTAAAAATATGATAATTGGTTCTTTACCCTTCTATCTGGCAACAAAACTGACACCTTTTTTTGTTGCCAGATAGAAGGGTAAAGAACCAATTATCATATTTTTACTGGCAAATGAGGTCCCCATAGTGAAGTTCAACATACTCGAGGCCAAACCAGACATTTTACTGCTCGGTACCACCCGAGGTGGCGTACAACCCCCACCGGTGAATTATGTGATAACCATTTGCAAGGAGTGGGTTATCAAGTAATTCACTCGGATTTGCCATATAATTAAATCAGTAAAACTAAAGTCTTCCTACCTTAGGTGGGAACCATTTTCCGCTCAGGCCCATGGACAAAAGCAGGAGGAGTGAAAGTGCTAATCGCTGAGAGAGGGCCTTTTTTGCTTCCTCGCAAGCCTGAAAACAACAGTCCCATTTGTTGTTCCACGACGACTACCCTTTTTCACACACGGCCGTGCCCGACAGCCGAGAGGGCGGTGATGAGGCCGAGAGGGCGGTGATGAGGTCGAGAGGGCGGTGATTAGGCCACTCGTACAAGCAGAGAGTCTCTTTTTGTTGTAGCCTAACAAGAACGGCGAGCGCTGATATTAGCGGGCCACCAATTCTTCACAGTCTCTCTTAAACACACAGCTGCAAGCAAGCAGCCGCGCCAATGCTCCCCCTGACCGCAGCTATTCACACGGGGACCAGCCCCCCTCCACCCCCCCCCCCCCATCGCACCGTCCCGCCAAGAAAAAAAAAGGCGAACGGACTCCGTAGCGCCGACCAAAACGCTATTTATTTTGAGACCGAGATGATATTTTAGATCCCGCCGTTTCCTCGGTTTAGCAAATACGACCGTGGATGTGTTACATTTGCAGGCTTCCGTTGGTGAGAGGGAAGGGGAGGCGGCACTTTTACAAAACGCCAGCTCAGCGTATCTGCTGTATCAACAAACCAAAATGTGGCATTACGCTCCGCGGCCCGCTGCTTTGCTGCAGGCGATATGAAAGCAGAGTCAAGGTTGGAGTTCAAGATGCCAGATATATCCCAGAAATAACACTTACGTTGCCGCCACGTGTGTCTGCAGCTAGCTGACCCATTTCCCCCTCCCCCTTGTGACGGCTCAGAAGGAAACCTATAAAGAATTGCCAACATTACGACACATAATTTAAGGGCATGCCACCATCCCCGCCAAACCCCCTTCCTGCCAGAAATGCGGTTGTTTGGATGCAAGGATTGGCAGTGGCAGTTGGGGCTATTTATTCCCAAACGGGTTCGCTTCCAGCACCCAGCAGGTGCTTGTGGGGCCCCTCTCAGCCACAGCGGCACCCGTCAGGTGTCTTGGGTGGTGCCATGATGTATCTTCACCTTTTCACCGTGCAGCAAATGACCCATACTTCCACAAAAGCAAACTGACGAGTGTCAAGAACTGAGTGCACAGTCAGTCCAGCAGCCCGCTAGGAGACTGGAATATATCAGAGGTTATTGGCTGCCAAGCAATTTACAGCCAGCTTGCCGACCATCGCGGGGCTTATGCAGTCCAAGTGACGTGCTCTATTTGAGGCCTCACAGCGTTTCTCTGGTCGAGCGCCTTGGAGGCGGGGGGGTTGGTGGACCACGCGCAGATATTGTAACGTGCGTGCGAAGAAAACACCTACTTGCGGAGGTAGGCGATAGTCTGTAGGCGGTGAAGCAACGTCGCCGGTTGCCGACCTGTGTGTGTTCTTAGGTTTTTTCGGTAAAGTCACGTAGGTAAAAACATTAAAAAGTAAAATAAAATAAAAAATCACGACGTTTCGGAGGCAACACAAGCTTCCGTCTTCAGGTGGTACCGTCACAGCCACGACATTTTTATTTTATTTTACTTTTTAATGTTTTTACCTACGTGACTTTACCGAAAAAACCTAAAAATATGAATCATTGCAGTCACGAAAGCTTCAAATCTAGATCTGTGTGTGTATTTTTTGTAAACGAATCTTTCTACGCAATCAGCAGATGTTCCGTGGGCCCTCTGGCCTTGCTCACACATACGAGCTGCTTGATAATGTGAACAAGTGTCCCAAGTCAGGGCTTTACCGTCAAAGCCTCGAGGGAGTCGTTGAGCCTAAGAAAAAAAAAACACGTTCGGCTCTTCTGCTCACCGTGATATTGCACTGGGCCTTCACCGCAGACGCCGCTGTTGGTGGTTCTTTTCACACGAACCTGGTCGATGGATTTGACAGGGGCCTCAAAAAGAAAAGCATGCCGAGTCCGCTATGGGCTCTTTAAGGAGCGCTGCGTTAGGCGCCTGTCTTCGGTTTCAGCAGTCCGTCGTGCCTGCTCCCTCCTGTGCGATGAAACGGTGAAATGTGATCCATTTTATAATCGCTATTCCCAAGAAACAAATCTCGTTCACTTCGAACACAGAGGAACACTTTCACAAGCGAGCGAAGAAAACCATGATGCAATTGTTTTTTGCGTAAGTCAGGCGAGCAAAAAAACAAATTGAAAGCTGCTTTGCCATATTCTTGAACTTCAAAAATGTAGGCTGCTACCATGAGATTAATATCTACAAGACTTTGAAGCAGCACTAATACGAGATGCTTTAACGGCCTGTGAAGGTGGGACCCCATTGCAGCCGATGGCAAATCTGGAGGTAGTTAAAATTTAAAGGGACTACATTTTAGGAAACCCACCCCCCGCCTGGAATTTTTTTGTAGCGTGCCCGAGTTTTTTTTGTATGTTGTTGTTGGAAATGGATGACTCTTTACGATACATACTCTTAGGTTTTTTCGGTGAAGTCACGTAGGTAAATAAAATTAAAATTAATAAACGTAATAATAGAAATAAAATAAAATAATCAATCACGACATTTCGGAGGCAACACAAGTCTCCGTCATCAGGTGGGACCGTCACAGCTAGATTTACTTTATCAAGTGACTTTACCGAAAAAACCTAGGAGTATGAATCCTTGCAGTCACGAAAGCTTCAAATCTAGGATCTTTACGATACGCCGGCCGCTCTCCTGCGCTTAGAAAAAGTTTGACTGCGTTGCCTGCAAAGAGTTAAAACGAGCGCGCCATGCCTGCCTATTCAACGCCAGACGGACGCTCAGACGCGTGCAGGACTGCTCGCGGCGTCGTGAGCCAAGCGGAGTCGAGGAAACGGCGCAAGAGGAGTTGCTTGGGGGGGGGGGGGTTGAGAGCGACGTGCGGAATAGGAGACGGTCGTGGGAGAGCAGGCTCGATTTTAGCGTTTGGTTCGGAGAGAGAGGGAGAGAGAGAGAAAAAAGCATTTGTGGCAATAAAAATGAAATCCTTTCTTAAGCTGAAAAAGGGGGAGCCTCCACGTAATGATTCTATAAATTCCTGTCTTTGGGCCTCGTTACGGCTCTTAACTCGACAGCAGATGGCGTGTGCACGTGTGTTCGTTCTTCACGCGCGTCGAGATTGCACACGTACAGCTCGTTTCGATAATCCACTGCTAGATGAGAGCCTCCTACCTACGCTATGCCAGTCGCGGACACTATTTGATCATGTTTGATCACCGGGCTGGTGAAGCCGGGGAACACAACCATTAGATCATAGTGCAGTATAACAATGGCTAGAAGTGCTTGGGTGTTATAAGCTGTTGCTGGAGCGATGGTGGCAGTCAGAGGGTAGTGCAGTACAATCACAATTTTTGACTAATGATCGGTTGACAACAATTATAAATGTCTTTATTGTCACGAATGTCGTTTTAATATAACAAAGGCTTCGTGAGACATCATAGTGGCATGGTGATTATTAAATAGAACATCTTATCACGGTGATGATGATGACAAAACACAGTAAGTTGTTGTTTCGTTTGTGTAACTCTTTTCCATATATTTTTTTAAACCAGTTATACCCCAAACACGTCATCGGCATTTGGGCCAAGGGTGAGTGTTTTTTTTCATCTTCTGGAATGCCATACAATAGTAGAGAGACACACGTGCTATTGGGAAAATACTCTAAGCTTTGTCCAGATTTGTCTAAAATCGAAGCTTTGTTTGGTATTACTGGCAACTGGATTACACAAAGGATACGCTGTGAAGATTAGCGACAATTTCAACCGCTGCCTCTGCGACGCATTATTTTTCCAACTGAAATAATTGAATTTTTGTGTGTATGATTTTTGTTATTCATTAATGCAAACACTGCTGGGCAGGATGAGACGAGTTGAACTTGCTTCACATGGACACTTGGGTGTTGTGTCGGTCGGGGGCCCTGAAGATTTAAACCCAGGATCTCAACATTTCTGGCTCAGTCTTCTCTTACACGGACATAGCATTAGCCTCTTGGGCCACTCAGCAGCCACTCTTGAATATTTGTTTTGTCCCCCCCTTCACCCCTCCACTATTTAAAGTGCTGAGCAGCACTACCTTCTCTTCCCCGCGAGATGGCGTCCCACTCGTCAGCTCGCTTCATGCCCCGAGCCGGCTTTCTTCTGTTTACTCCAAGAATTCGGGAATATTTTTAGACGTTGAATGCCCGCCGCATCCTTGTAAGCAAACCTCAACCCGGCATTTGACTTGTTTTTCAGAATAAAATAAATATATATTATGATTCATCGCTTGCGAACGTTTTGATTTACCATCATTTAAAACACCATTTAACAATACAATCAGGCCCTTGCCCTGTTTTTTTTTCATGGTAACTTCAATATCTTAAGAGTTTACGGTTTAAAAGGCACGGTAAAATTTTTTAAAAACCAAACAATATGTTAAAAGCATTACAATTTTATTTAAATTTCTATTTTTGTCTATCAGTAGCCACTAACGCCGATGCCGTTATTGCATTTTAATATCATTATAACATGAAGTTACGAAAATAATTTTGACATTAGGTCACTTTTACTTTGTTTCATTGTTAAATTCTTCACGTGCTTTCCTCTTACACACGTGAGAACTACCGACTCTCGCATGTCACAGGAACACATACGTGTCCGAATGTCGGGCCAAGCAAAACGCTTTGTTTACCTTCTCATTTGTCGACAGCTAACTGAATGTCACGCAAAGCTCGTAGTAACTCACAATTAAGCAATGCTTACGTCGGATTATACTGGGGGCTTTTATCTTCTCAAAATATTTTCCTACTTGAAAATATTTCACTAATTTGACCCACATTGAAATTTAACGAGCCACGGAGACCCAGATCTGCCATTTGTTTCCACAAGTACACTTTTGAAAAGCGGCCAGAAAAATAAAAGTGCCGATCGCAAAACGTCCCTTTACCTTGCATCATCATCGCCAGCCGAATCGCCACGCTCCCTCCGTGCATCTTCATCGTGGTCGAATCATCCGGTGCCCAACTTCTCCGAGATTTTCAGGAGTCGCGCGCGGTGGTCTTCCTCGTTCTCGTCTCTGCAGCAGCGGCAATGCTGCGATGTTTACACTGCGCGCCGCCAGACCGGCCTGGATCGGTGCCTCCCATAATACCAGAGAGGAGATGGGGTAGGGGGGGGGGCTCTGGTGGCCAATTGCAGCACGCTGCTGCACAGCTGAGGCTTTGCAAACGTCCCTTCCCCGCCAGCCATGTGCTCGAGTTTCCACTCCCTCTCTCGACCGTCCACCAATCCCCAATCACTGCAACAGCAGCAGCAGAAACCCCGTGGCTTCATTCCTAAATCTCCCCGTGCGTCTCAGCCGGCTCCCTCCACTCCACCTTCACCGCCCCACTTACAACCTCCCCCAACTTTATTTCCACCTCTACAGCAACAGCAACAAAAATTTCTGAGAAAAACTTCTCCACCTGGCCCACCCCTTCTCTGAGCTTCTCACTGTCAGCCCGCGACCCCCAGCGTAGCTCTGCAAGAAAGAATCCGGGTGTTATGAAGATATTAAGGATGAAGACTTAGGAGTAAGACATCAATGATTGGGGGGGGGGGGAGAGAGTTGGGGGATGCACGCAAAGAAGGATCGCACGAACACGTGCAAACCTCCAGATGCAGCTGGATTGTTACAGCTGCGAGGCCGACTGCTTAAGACGAAGGCGTAATCGATAATGCGTCATTCAAAAGATGTTATTTTAATCTCCGTCTTTCCGGCGCCTTGGTCTCATGCATGGACGGCAGGAGGAGCAACGCGTTAAAGTTTCTCCAAACTCGCCCGCCACATTGTAATCGTCGGCGTTTAGGGGGAAGACAGTTGGTGTGGTTTTTTTTTATGGGTGAAATGCGCCTATGCGTGGGTTTCGGCAAACCCTTTATTTGTTGCCGATGTTAACCTTTATAAAAAAAAAACTACATCATTTTCATAAGCTATGATCTATCCATCGCTGGATGAAGGTCTGCCCAAGCTGTCGTCATTTCTCACAGTCCTGTGAAGCAACAATGCATCACACGAGCTGATCTCATGACCGTGTTCTCGTCTTTGGCTGCCACTCTGTCTGAAAAATAAGAATGGGTTATACCCTTTCTGGCAATAAAACAAGTGTTGCAATGTTCAAACAACAAATAGATACCTTTTGGAAGGAATCAAGTCTGCATGAACCACAGCGCTTGTGGTGAACATGCAAACAAACATGTTCTGATAATTTCTGGCCTCTTTGAAACTGATTGGCCTATGTTGTGAATCTTCACTGCCGGTCATGATGTAATCTCTTCTTGCGACGTGTCCTGCCCAGGCCCATTTGCTGTCAATAAACTTGCCAGCCTTAAATAAATGTTTTACGAGATTTCAGTAGCAATATATTGACGAGGTAGAATGTGGTGTCACACCTGTGATGTCATGATCATATGGAGAAGGGTTTATTAATTACAGGTATTTTTTGTGGACTCTGGAAGCCCTCGCCCTAATAGGATCCAAGTTGACGTTGCCTCCAATAAGTGAAAGCCCCTCAAAGGAGAACACTGCTGTGCAATCTCGACAACAACAACAACAACATCAACAAGAAAACTCAGAAACAAGAGCATCGGCCAACAAAGGTTAACCACTAACAAAGCTTGGCTTATTAGACGTGCATATTTACAAAGTATGGCCACGGATCCATTTGCAGAAGTAATTCGTGAAAGCTAACCTAACCCACATGACACTGCTGCGACATATAATTTAGCTGGTCCACAGCAGCTCCATCGAGATTGTTTGCTTTTAAAATAATAATAATAAAGTCTGCTTTATATTTAATATCATAGAGACTTGACAATGCACTCTCCTGAGCCAGCCTACGTCTACGTTCCATCTGCCCACGTTCACTTTCCATATGGCTGGGTTTTAACATAAAGGAAAAAAAATTGTTAAAACAGGAATGAATTAAAGGGAAAAAAATGGCACGTTCTTTGGGCTGCCAGATATTATGTCCGGCTGGCAGCCTGCCACATTCGCAGTAGCCACTGTGCCAATGGTGGGAGGGGGAGCAGGGGGTGGAGTGAAGGAGGTTGGTGGGTTGTGAGTGCCGGGTTGTGTACTTGGATTCCGTGTGCCGGGGTTCGAGATGTTATGGTGGGCTGTCTGGCCATGGCGTGGTGGTTGAAACACAGCAAACGGTGACAACGTTGACAACTGCCACGACATGCTGACTTCTTCAGGCACTACTGTATTGCGCTATCAACAGCTTGTAAATGATATCTGTAACAGCCATAAGTGTGTTGCCTTTGACTGAATTTACACGAATTTACTCTAACCCACCTGTGCATACGACTCAGAATCTTTATTTACACTGGAGGAATACGATGAGCAATGAAGCTCTTCGTATGTCACAGATGCCGTCACAGATGTCCAGTAGTCACACGTGTCCAGTAGAATCTGCGACCTCTCCTTAACCTCGAGCAAACTCTGACCCCTGCCATCTTTAATCTTCGGTGACCGTGGCCCTTGCAACTCTGCCAAACCTCTGGTGGTCCCTAACATCGGACAACTCATGACATCCAGCTGACCTTCAACAGCATCTATTGCATCTTGTGATGAAACTGGGTTTGCTCAGTAGAGTGGATAACCCACTCTTTACCTTTTAACTAAAAGAAAAGTGGGGGGGGGGGGCAGGGGGATATTTACAGACAAATTTCTAGGAAGGCTCCCTTGGGGGTCGTGGGCTTAGTGTGCGTCTTGCTGGGGCGACAAGGCAGACCCTTGTGCGTTTTTCTGTGTTTCTAGGAAACTAAAGCTCAAAAAGCTACGAGGAGTAAAATAATTTAAAGGGCTGTAAGGTAGGTAGGTGTAACAGATCGGCTGATTGGGAGAGAAAGCAAACGAAGTGCGGGGTATGCATGGTTCAGCCTCGAAAGAACGTAAAGCTTGACACAGGGCGGATTTGTAATGTTTAAAGTAGCAACGCTCTCCAACCCATGGCTGGTCGTGAGGTCTATACATGTTGCAACTCTGACTGCTATTTCATTGGTTTTCCGTTTATTGGCGAATCTTACAGGTAACTCGAGAAAGGACACACACTAAAAGCATATGTCACGACCTCTATGTATACGAGCTCTCTCATCCCCAGAGAGATTTCAAGGGTTCACAAGTCAACCGCAGCATTCGCGTGGATATGCTAAAAGACGTCAAGTGAAATGACCCCTGTTTACACGATTACTTTTATGTCCAGTACTTCATTTATCGCGTCTGTTATTTACCAGGTCAGAGTACATTAAAACGAAACGTATTTTTTGTAAAAAGAGACCTTGATTACAGGTTATTATTGTCTTTTATTTTTGAGCTGTTTTTGATATCCATATTGCTTCACCTTTGAATTGTTCAAGTACTGTAGCTTGTTTTCTCTACGTGCTATTATGAGATATTCGTTGTCATTTAATCATAAACAGCCCTGGCCGCGCGTTTGCGTGGGATACACGTCCGGCGTGCTGGTGGGGAGGGGGGGGGGGGTTGGACGTGACGTCAGCACGCACGTACCTGGCTCCCCGCTGTGGGATACGGGTGACGTCACCACGCAGATGTACGCGATGACGTCGCCACCGCACACTTTGCCCCGCCCGCCGAGCCAGCCAGCAAAACTTTTTTTGTTCATAATGTAGCCCTGTACTGCATATGTGTGTAGCAATTGTAAATGCTGTCTTGTTTGTTTCGTTTCAAAAAATAAATTGCAAAGCGCCCCTCTGCTCGAGACTCATTTTTGGCAGTTCTCATCGTTTCAAGGTTTGGTGGTGGAAATTCCATGTTCTTATGGCGGGGGGGGGGGTCAGTTTGTCTATAGGATGAGCAGTGCGTGAGTTCCTACTCATCAGAATGTGCTCAATTCACCCACCTCAGGAATGGGGGGGCCACTGCCACTTGCCAATGAAGGAGTAGCGCCGATCTTGACCAGAACGTTGAGCTCACTCAATGCTGCCAACCGGGGAGCCAAGCTGCTGTGCAAGTTACCACCCGAATTTACAAACATTATTTTCAACATTTATTATTGCAGCCCACAGTAAATGATATTCAGAGCAATAACACATTGTCGTTATTTTTTGTGTGCCAATGAAAGAGTCTCAAGTCTCATTTTAAGGGGAATCTTGCTCTCGTTTGTTTGGCTAGAACATCTATATAGAGTGTGCAAGCGTAGGACACTAATAATATGCAATGAAAGATCATTAACCTCCTTTTCCGAACTGTATCTTTTATACAACGCCTGAGTGCCCATCAGGTTGGCATCGCATGCACATTTAGAGGAATAATCGATATTTCATAGCCAGGTAATTGCCCATTTAGATGAATGGTCGATACATCTCCAGCACGCCTGGCGTTAACGCCACTAGTGGTCTCCGAAGCACATTCGTAAAAAACTGAGTCCAGAAAATTCCAGCCCTTGTAGGACGGCCGCCCTGGCGGCCAGGACCTTAAATGCGTGCAAGTGTGTATGTTGAACTTCTTTCGCACCGTTACGCGGCCAGCCGTGCTCATCGGAGGACCGTTCCTCTCGAGCGGAAGGAACGATGCCATAAATGGACTCGGGCTCTTGCGACGGCCGGGGTCGTTCGCGATTACCGAAAACGTTACGCAGAGTGGCGGGGGGGGGGGGGTGCGGAAATAAACATTGAAATGTAGCTTATTTGTGAGGGGAGAACAAAAATACGCGCTTTGATTTCCTTTGTGTGTGGAAGAGTGTAACCTGAGCACTGGCGGCAAGAGGAATTTGGTGGAAGGGGTTTTGGGTGCGAAAACGTCGGAGTCTGTGAGAGTGGCGCGAGTGAGCGATACCTTCAGGCTGACGATGTGCCAACCATAATTGTACATTTATTTCCACTGCCACTTTGAAGTTGTCAGCGAATTCCGCAGTTAATTGGTAAACATACACAAACTGAAACCCATCATCTTCAGCAGCAGCGTCGTATACCGTTCTGTTCAACTCACTGCTGGATGAAGGCCTCCCTCGAGCTGTCACCATTGCTCACAGTCCTAAGATTTAACAATCCATCTAGCACAGGCACACGAGCTGATATCATTGCTGCACCTTCCTCTTCAGCGAGTTCCCTCACTTGGCTACCACTCTGTCGATAGTCTTGG